GAGGTACAATTAGTTTCAAAATAAAATAGGATGCCTCGATACCAACTTGACGTTTCTTGGTAGATAGTTTGTCGAAGTTATGTGATATACAGTTGTTATCGCTTCAACACAAATTTGCTAGAAATGTCTGGTGCGGCATTTTGAATGGCCAACTGTTTATGAACGCATTGCCACAACGTTTAAGTGCAAACTCATACTAATCTTTTCTACAGAATTACATAGAAAATGTGTTAGATGATGTTCTGTTAGCAACGAGTAAGAATGGGGTATGCGCACGACGGACTGCGCCCCATCCCATGTCATCGTGACATAACCGCATGGTCTCGAGGTTTCTTGATTTGAGTCCCCTGGATTTATTTTTATGAGGCACTTTTAAACAACTAGTGTATGCTGAGTAAATTACTACTGTTGACCAATTCCAAGAAAGAGTAGATAATGCGTTTCAACAAATTCAAGCCACAACAAATTTGGCGGAAAAACGTTTTTCTTTATTAAAAGGATGCCGCATTTGTATCAGTCAGAATGGTGGTCTTTTTGAACGTTTATTTAAATAAAGCTTTGATTACCCAATTTGTTTTTTTTATTTTTACAGAAACAATGCACTCCAGGTAAAAAACACATTATTTGTAGCAAATTAAAGATAAAATTTGAAAAATGTGCGTTTCGAAAAAAACAGTAGCCTACTATTTTTATTTAGAAAAATATTGCCACTAATCCTTTGTATCTCCGCCACTGGAGGGCCCCCCCTCTTGAAAAGCGGTCCTGTGTACGATTTTTGGTCACGACTTGTGAATCACCCTGTATATATTTTTACTGCAGGTGTAGTGGAGGGAGGGGCGGTCTCGTAATCATAGAAACAAAAACGTACGACCAAAAACACATTTACGTCAAGTAAAATTTTTATGATGGGGGAGCGAAAACGCCCAGTACAAGAAAATTGTCAGTACTTAAATACTTTTCTACTCAGCCTACACACTAAATATACAAGTCCTTAATGATAACGTTTTGTTGGCGAAAACGCCTACTAAAAGAAATTGTCACCACTTGAAAACTTTTTTGCCCAGCCTACACAACAAATGTATAACTTATTAACGATAAAGTTATCATTGATTCGTTCTGTTGGCGTTGGCAACTTTTTGTGTAAGTCGTGGATCTTTGGAAACACCCTTCCAATAACATAAGTGTATAAGGCAAGGAAGAAATCTTTATGTTCCCGACCATTTTTTGCGTAGTACTTTTTACAATCAACTTCGGCAGATAATACATAGGGACATTTTCAGCACTCGAATAAGGTGAGAAATACGATCATCCAAAGTTCCTCTGGTATACATCTTTATCTATCTAAGTCCAAATCCTTGATGCTGAATTATCCGAAGTGAATGAAAATCGCATGAGGTGGTGAACAGATAAATAATAAAAAATATACTACATTGATCTCGTTGTATCGTTTTTAGTTTTGTTAGTCAACCTAAATAGCACAATTGCATCTCAGAGACGTTTTTAAAAAACGTATTTTCGAGATATCGGAAACATTGTAAGGATGTCTTGTAAACGCTGTACGACATCGCAAAGAGGTAATGACGTTGTATCTTAGGAAAACTGAGTGTCTTTGAATACGTCTTTATAATACGTTTGTTAAGGTACTTAGTGTGGCATTAAGAAGACAATAAAAACAGGCTCATCATTATAAAGTATAAATATTGAACAGGCTGAAAAACAAGTTAATTTATTTGAATGTCAAACTTTTTTGTATGGCTGTGCGATGATCCGACGCTCGCCTTGACCAAGCTTCAATTGCTAACTCCACCTACTCCACCTCGTGGTGGTATTGGCATTCACAAGCACCCTCAGCAGACTGAAATAAATAAGTCGGTAGGTACAGCTTGTTCCATAAACTTTTTTAATTTTGTAATCCAAAATTTGTTTGTTACGTTGATTTTATGCTATTTAGTTATGACACCTCATTCTAAACAAATCATCTTAATTAATTAAGGAATAAGTATAAGGCTTAGCTGTTGTTGCGCCAAGCCAGATACGGTGTCACTCAAGGCTGCACGCTATATTGATACAAATTAATAAAAAATCTCTGAAAAACAAGCCAATTGAACAAATATTTTGCTTGCTGCGGTGGTTGAAACCAGATGGCTCATGGATTGTAGGTGTTCGCCAGAAGAGGTGTAGTTGTGCAATTTCTATATTTTCGGTGGCATTTTGGGCAAATTAGTTTACATTTAAGGCCTACACTTACCTTTTCCTAATACCAAAAAAATATATATGAATCTTAAAAAAATGTTTTAAATACATTTTTTATATATTATTTCCAATCGTGGTTGGGTAAACAAGAAAATATGTTTTACTTTAACGTTTAGTTGAGCAATTGGATTTCTCATATTATACACACCTGAACAATTTACAATATTGGTTAAATCAGCAAAGGTTAAAGGAAAACCTTACATTGTGAAAGAAATGTGTCAAGCAGTCTTGTTTGACTTCAAGTCTTTTGAAATTCAATACAAAAACTATAACAGAAATACTGACCGAAAACAGGTCTATTTTTTTTATACTCCAACTACCATGAAGGCCTAAGGCCTAAACACCCATTGGGTACCGTGGGGCTATAAGGGGATACAGGGGAAAGGGGGAACACCACACGGACTCTGGCGAGGGAACACGTGTGCATGCAACATGCACACATTCTGGCTCCGCCTACGAGATCCGCCGGGTGGTACCTCCGCGTCCGACAGTCAGAAACCGTCTGCCACCTACGGACAATCACGACATCCATAGCCAAGAGAAAAATTTCTCCTGGGACGGGACTCGAACCCGCACAGCGCACGGCGACTGATCAGGAGACCGAAGAGTCTATTACTGCGGCCACCGCTGCTGCCTAATGGCATGGTTGAGTATAAGAGAATTCAAAATACATTTTGGTTTTCCAGATCTAATAAAACTTCGTTTTGACTTATCCAAGGGACAAAAAGACATCATCAACGTTCAATCTAAGAGAGGAACAAAAAGGAACGGGACATGAAACATAAAACTGGTGGTGAAAATGTACTACCCCAAGCCTACAATAAGCCCTTGGTGTTAACGAAGAAGAAATATGATCACCAAGGTCCCTGAAACATATAGGCCTTACTAACAAAGTTTGACATATGGTGGTCGTAATATAAGTGACTCGAAGTCAGAATAGGTAACTCAAGAGAATTCCCGATGTGTGCAATCCTTTCACTTAAGTTTTATAGTCTCTGTAAATAAAGAAGGAGAAAAGTAGGCCTATAGCATCACTCTAATGATAATGATGCTGTAAGAGTCTTTACAATGTTATTACATGGACAGTTTATGCATTTTTATCATTTTATATGTTCTTTCAATTGCTAAATAATGACAGTTTTATGGAAGAACATTGAGCCGTATTCATAAAAGAGAAGCATATCCTCGGAAGCATAACGAAAAAGTATAAGGCCTTGTTCCGGAGAAAAAGGTAGAAGTATAAGCATATCCTTGTTTTCATATTAATAATGACTACTTTATACTCGTGAGGATATCTTCCAAGAAGAAGTAAACGGTTGACGGGTATTTGTAACTTGAGCGACATGTCCTGACTTGTTCCAGCTTGTAGTTGACGTTGGAGTTCGTTCACTCAGCATCACTGACAGTTGTACTCCAGAGCTTACTCAGAACGTTCCGTATTTTTACTGGATACAGTTTTTTATCAAATTAATAAGCATGTCATTCTCAAGTGATGACAAAACTATAGAATGCAGTTCATCGCAGATGAATTTGCCATTGCTCCCATTATTTTGCAAAAGTCAGAAGTTCCAAAAATACAAATGAGAAACGTCTATGCCTTGAATACAAAATACGAATCAATATTCGGTAAACCATTAGATACTAAAGGCTTAAAAAAAATCAAGAACATGAAATCAAGATTGAAGAAAAGAACAGATCTAAAAAAAATGGTAATATAGCAACTAAATTGTTGGATTGGAAAAGAAAGTTGCTGAAAGCTATGGAAGGTGACTGTAATCCTACAATTAGGAAAATTAGAGGTGCCGTTCAGGTTGGTAGTGTTCAAGAAGAAGAAAGTGAACATTGCCACCAAAAAGAAAAGTAGCAACAGAGAATTACGAAACTGAGGAAACCAAGGGGTTAACTACAAAAGAACTGCAAAGTCTAGTGCTATTACGGCAGTACCAAACAAGTATTTTACAACAAGAGTATTATAAAACGGAATTAAAAATGATGCAGCGTTAGAAGAAATTTGTATCTTATGATGTTCACGAAAATAAAACTTATTATAACTTATAAATACACTTTAATCAGTGAAACTATTTATTATAATACTCAAGTTTCTTCATGTTTGTTGATCTAGTTGGCGGAGAGGATGTTCGTCATTCTCATGATTTCCTTCAACTTCATCTGGGTCTTGTTCAACTAACTCAAAGTCAGGATCGTCCAAGCTCTTCGCAACATTATGGAGTACAATACAAGCAACAATTATTTTCGGCACATTTTCCAACTTTACGCGGCAAACATACTGTAGGATAGGAAACCGGCGTTTCACTTGGCCGAAACAGCGTTCAATTATAACTCTTTCTTGTTTTAAAAGCTTATTATAATTTATTTCTGCACCTGGACTAAGATTTCTGAAGGGAGTCATAAGGCATGGCTCAATACCATAACCGTCATCTCCAAGTAGTACAACATTTGCTTTATTTATTAGTTGTGATCTAGTCTGTGAATTTGTCCATATTCTGGAATCATGCGCTGATCCAGGCCAACTGACATCAACGCTCGTGAACATCTCTCTGGCATCACAAGAGACTTGCATATTTAAAGTAGGTTTCCCTTTTCGGTTGATATAAACATCTCCATCGCGATTTGGTTTCAGGATTCCTATATGTGTACAATCAATTACACCAATTGCTGTCGGAAATTTATACATGCTTTGCCATATCCGCTTGGTTGGTAGTTGGAAACTTGATCCATTCATTCGACTATGCAACTATGCTGTTCACAACTCTATACACAGTCTCAGATACCGTTGCTTGACTAACACCAGGTTCCTGACCAATACCTTGTTGATATCTATGGTCACCGAGGTAGCGTAGACATATCTTCATTTTATAAATACATGAAAGTGCTCCTTCTCGAGTTTCCTCATTCTCAACTAAAAATCTGTCCGCAAGCCATTGTACATTTGCTTCGTCGAACCGATATAATTTTTTGAAGTACGACCAAGTGAAGGTAAACGAGGTTTGTACGTTTAAACATCATTAACTTCCACAATTTCCATCATCATCGTTTGACCACCTTTCGTTACGAAGTTGAGTCTGCTACTGACCACACTCAGAATTTTTGAAGGATATGCTTCCTATGCTAAGTATAAGGTGAATATTATGAATATCATTTTACTTATGTCACTGCTTTGAAGGATATGCTTATACTCATAAAGCAAAAGCATTTGCTTCAAATTATTATAAATACCATCTGGAGGATTTCCTTCAAAATTTGCAAGTACAAAGATATCCTTTGTTTTATGAATACGGCTCATTGTAACATACGCTACAATGATTATACAGCTGAGTGCACGTTTTCGTCACATTGTAATTACCCGTTTTTTGCCTTCTGCATCAATTTTTACAAACTTTTATAGGAAAAAGCATTAACCAACGACCAATCGACAAAACCACAGAAACGTGTACCAAGTGCCAAAAAGCTTAATCAAAGTTTGTAGAAAGTTGATATGGCTCTTCTGAAAACTTGACTTTTGTCAGTTACGATTTTCTTAGATGCATGTATCGATGTGCTCGCTAATATTTCTAACTCTAAAAAGCTGAATCCTTAGAGTCCCCTCTCTTCTAGAAGACTTAAGGAAACGTCGTTAAGATGATTGTTTTTTGTCTTGTCGGGTCGTTCGTCACAGTAAGGATATCTTAGAAACGTCTAAGGCATTCAGACATTATTAGAGCATAAAAGGGCGGATCCAGCATTTGCGTCGTGAGGGGATCACAGGATTTATGTCCAGAAGGATATTTGTCTACGGAGGGGGAGATTCTGATATAATGAACCGTTTCTAGGTTTTGGAGTAAAACGGCCTTACCATTTTGGTACATTTTTATAAAATATGGAACCGTGCCCGAATACTGGTTGGAGGAACGGGGGATTTAAAAATTTGGTAATTCTCATAACAGACGCGTCATCAGCGACCTGAGAAACCAAGAATATTTTTCTTAATGAATAATAGTTTAAAAAAGCTAAAAAAAAACACGCTTTTGTAGTAGTAAAGTCGAAAATAATTTTTAAATACAACGAGTTTATATTACTGTACTAGATGGTCGAACAATCAATCATAATTAATGACCTCAAATTATAATAAAATTTAAGTTATTAGCAGAATAACTCAACTCAGAGTAAAAAAACGTGGGGTGCATTTTACTACATTTTAATAACTCTCCTCCACTAGATAGTTGTCAATAGAATGATATTTAATATATCAAGTACCTCACGCTTTTTACTCTGAGGTGAAATATTCTGCTGAAAGCTTAAATCTTATTATAATTTTATTTTGAGGTCATTGATTATCATTGATTGTTTGACAATCTACTACTGCAATATATAATCTTTCTATATAAAAATTATTTTCTACTTTTTAGTTTGGTTAGCTATAAAAGCGTGTTTTTTAGTTTTTTTTTAAACTCTTACATATTATACGAAAATCATGTAAATTTCCAGTTTGATATCGTCAAATACCAGAAAATAAAAGTAGTAGACTCATTGTACGCTAACGGATCACGCTCGGGAAATCTCAATTAATTTGTGCAAAAACTGCAATTTTATCATAGCGAAGCAGCCGCGTAGGCAGAAGCTTAAATACCAAGACATCGCAGCTGCTATAAATACCACTCTGTTCGACGAAATAGGAAAAAAGGAGGGGTCGTACCGCGAAGTTCTGAATGTATGAAGTTCGGCACAGTTAGACCGAAGTCAAGCTCGTTGACATAGCGATAAAAGAGACCTTGATCGCCGACGGACCGTCTGGAGGCTGTCCGTCGGAAACCCTAAGGCTTGACCTTGTACTGAATTGATCAGACTGACCACCATAATGGATACTTTCAGGAGTGCTATAAAGAATAGTCAGAAGTTGAGATAGATCTTTAGTCCTTTGTGCGGTATGTATCTTGCTTTGAAATTAGGTGATATTTGTTTACCCTTGAGGTTGGGGTGAAGTGGATAATGTACATATTTTTGTTTTTTGTTCTTGATAGCTACAACTGCAAAAGGACCATCGTTTATTTTTTGAAGACGAATGAATAAAGGTTAATTTCAAACGTTTTCATTAATTCTGTTCTACCGTTCATAGGAAAAAGGCAGTAAAGTATAAAAGTCGAAGTCTTAGAAAAGAGAGTTCAAAATTCTGGATGTTTGCAAACTAAATAAATAATATCATTACTGCGGAACAAAAGTGATTTAATATTGCAAAGTTACATGGCTTGATAGAGTAATTTTTTTTGTGGAGGACTTAAGGTCTTTAGCTGTTGAATTTTATTTTTTTCATATAATTCAGTCATATTGAAATTCACTCAAATCGCACAAAAGCAAACTTTGCCAACCATCTACTACTGTTACTTTGTAATTAAAAATTATTTTCAACTTTTTAGTTTGGTTAGCTATAAAAGCGCGTATTTTTGTTTTTTAAACTATAACTTATTTTTCATTTTTTAGTTCGATTAATCAATTAGTTTTTTTGGACAGGTAGTATTGAGATGTCTTATGAATCATTTCGTAATCTAATTATTTCACTTAAAGCTTAAATGTTGCATGGGGTTTTTCCTGTTAACTTAGAGCAATCGAGTTCTTCAGTCCGAATACCGTCTAAAGATCTTACACGACTAAGTTGTATATAAGTTTCGGCAGCAGCAAAGAGTCGCGAGCCTAGATAAATGACTGTATAATCGACTGTACAAGCTTGAATCTTGTGGGCGGTCGAAGCCCAACTCAGGATTAATGGCAACATTCGCAATGAAGAATTTGTCAGTCCTGGCAGTCCTAATACGGATTGTCGTCGGTCCTTGATACGTGTGCGAATTTTCAAATTAGTCAAACTTCTGGAAATTGGTGAAAATTATGCTCAAAGATTCTGCTAAATACATACATACAGGCCAAGTTAATAAAAGCGTTAAAAACGGTTGATGTTATCGAAATCAGACATGATGATTGATGTAGATGTAACAATCAACACTATCGAGGCACGTTCAAGTTCTAAAAATATTATCCTTAAGTCATTATTATTCAAACATGTAATAATATTGGCAATAAATTGCGTTTATGGTTAGTCTAGCGAACTAAATGAGTTAATAGTTTTCGTAAAGGTGGTTACAGACACAACTGCAAGTTTGTCCAGCATGCTTATTCAATCTTTTTGTACAAGTATACACAATTTGCCTTTGTGTGGACGTACAAGCATGCTTGATAAAGATAGACAGGGTGGGTTTCACCAAGGTTGTCAAATCAACAGTCCTTTATTGTCCACCTATAGGGTAACAGTAAGTTAAATACAACGAATGAGCTTAAAGTTTCAATCAACAAATTTTAGCAACCAATAGCTATGAAATGTTGAAAACAAAATACTGTCAAAGTATGAGATGACATCTTGTCATTGAAACATCACCAGCTCATTGATAATTACATATAATTCAGTCATAATTTAAAGAAATGTTAGATTTTTTAATTAAATTCATGTTTTAATTACTATTGTTGATTTTTTATTCATGTTTATATTATTTTCTTCAATTGATATGCAATTTTACTGATTTAACCTCATCTCCCGTGTTTTTTTTTCTATAAACCTCTTGCAGATAGCCATGAAGCACCTACATGATGACAGACTCTGCCAAAAAGTTCATAGATATTGCTCGTTTCGAAACATTCATTCATTTACTTGCCAGAACCATTATGGCACCTTAGATTGATATTCCCACAAAACCATTCAGGTCTTTTGATATCTATACATCCATAAAGTTGAATATTTTTTGTTGTTCAGGAACTGAACAACATCGACACTATATTCACAGCGATTAAGAAATTCCCAAATATATGCCTTAAAGCTACCAGCAAACCTAAAACCTGGAAAAACACTACAAATTTGCCATATTTTTCTTTTTTCACGAGTACACAGTCTAGGTTATTATATTAGACATTATTTGAATACAGCTGATTATTGCATTTCAAGGCTCATCCAGTGACACATGTGTGGGATCTGTCAACCCTTAGTCCCAGTCACAAAACATATACTCTGAAGAAGGTTTAATTCCATGCTATTCAATGACAACACGGTGAAGTGTGGTTGTCAGCAGTCATTTCGTGAGGGTGAGACATGGTTGCCAGATTGTGCATTAATATCCCGTTTCACCCCCCTGGTCCCAGGGGAGTAAGCTTCGCCAACTGTTGAAATATACTCTACTATGCTTTATAAGAGTATTCGTGGAATTTTTCACAAAATCGTTGCACAACACTTGGAAATGCAAATGATATTCATCCCGACCACTGCATCCCCACGGCTAGGCGACCTGTTTGTTAAATTTGTATTGATAGGGCAGCGGGTTATGCTATAAATCCTATATCACAGTTTTTGTTCACTGATTGCAATGGTTAGATGATACCAAAAATATTTTCATAAATAGGAGATCTTTCCCATTGCGGATCGAACAATCCACCAAAGATGCTTATAATTATAATACCTAGTAAATTTACATGAAAAATCCTCTGTTTGTAGAAATATAAGAGCTTTCTCATATTTGTTCATCAATTTGATGATACAACACATCTACTAAAAATGATCATAATCAGGATAGTAAACTATGACGAAGGTCCACTGTATGTAAGAATTATCAGATACTTCATTTGCAATTTGACAACAGACCATGACGGTGTTCACATTTTTCAAATATTCTTCAAGAAGTGTTACCAGTCTGGCTCCAACTATCATAGGTATCTACTATGATTGTATTCCTACTTTAAATTCAAAACCAGCAAATGTAAAAGATTCATGTCGAACCCTTCATCACGGGACGTGATCGTCGTTAGATTTGGCAACCCTGCGAGTGACAAGTAGATAACTCCACCAGTGAAAAAGGCAATCAAACAATA